AAAAAAGCAATCAGTATAAAAACTTGTTAAACTTACTGATATTCTCAGCAGGCACCTTTACGATGGCCGGCTCGATCAGGTTTTCTGCTAGGACGAACGCTCCTTCCTCCAGGGTATCCAGGAGCATGGTGGCGGCGTGCGTTTGCTCGGTGGAATTCATGTCTTTCCAGGATTTCAGTGCTTCCGGTCTCAGGAGGTTGTCAACAGTATCCACAATCGCCTGTATCCATGGAGACAAGTGAAATGTCAGCTTTGGCCTCCCGTCACAACTCGAGGTTAACAACAAAGTACTTTGCGCCGGGAAGCAAAGGATGAATAGAACATGAAGGGGTAACAGTGACACTAACAAAGACTGAAACTGAAAGATCAAGATCATTCCAACTGTAGATGTGGGGGTTCACTGAGGATAACTGAAATATTCATGACAATGAAAAAAAGATTAAGTAGTATTTAATATTCTTTTTAGAATAAAAATAGCTTTTATCTGAAGCATTCTCTTGAGACACAACTTCTTGGTTGAGCGCTATACACTAAATGAGTTTTGACTACACTGCCTAAATTCTGCATTTCTGACTTTAAAGCCAACATTTACTAAAATAGATACTTGTTTCCCTAACATGGTCTGCTGATGTTAGTTTTCCTGGAGGAAACGGAGCATTATTGTGAAATCCCTGTCCCAAGTAGTAGTCTAAAACAAAACAGGACAGGGGTTATGCTTATTTTTAATAGTAATCCTTTAATTTCCTGCTTTCTGATAAGACCTAAGTAAGCAAAACATTCCAGCAAACCCACACAAGTATCATATGTTGATAAAACAAGAGTTTCTTCTGACCTTGGATGGATTGAGTTCACGACTCCAGGCTGGCAAAATTGAGAAACAACGTGACTAACCCGACTTAATCCCACAGAAAAACACCAAGATCTAGAGCAGCTTTTCATGTGATAATTCAGAGTGACAATTTAACCATAGGTGCCATTAACCACAGTCAGACCCCGCCACAATACTGGTAATTAACCACAACAAGCCCCCGTTCACTGCACCAATTAGTCACGGCTGTGATTATCCAAAATAGTAATTGACCAGAGACGAGATTATCCATATGCCTGGACTATAAACAAAAGTGGACCACTGATAGAGGATTAACCATAAAATCTAACCGCAGAGCGCACGGTAACCACAGCAGTAATGACTGTATCCCGACACAGAGCTCTCATTGTGTCTTTATATCTTGGGTTCTAGCACAAAAATCAATCTCTATGGCCCTGACCTTGCAGGCAACTTGAGGCGTGTGTGCTGTGACTGTGAAAAGAGTGTTTGCTGTGCATGTAAGAGAAAGAGCAGGAGGCGATTACAAGGTTGGAGTCATTACAACTAGACAGACTAAATGGCTTCCCTCCCCCACCCACAGGTAAGCAATCTGCAAAAAAAAAAAAATCTATAAAATCCAAAAGCAAAGGGGGAAAAGTCTGTGTTTAATTTGTCTTGTGAAGAAAGGACCCGTCTTCCAACTGAATCCTCTTTAATTCTCGCCCAGGTGGAAGTCAGTTTACAAACCGAGGGGCTTCAGTTCGGGAAACATATGGCGAGAGCTCATCGAGCAGGACAGTCAACATTCAAGCTGCTCTGACTACAAGCGCGACAGAAGATGATGACCCTGCTGACTAATACGATCAGTAGTTTGCTCTGCAGCTGTGACAAACAGGAGGGAAATGAATCGCTTTAAAAGCATGGCATTTAATTGGCTCTACACAAGCCTAATTAAATTCCTAATTTATAGATGTGACATATGTGTACATTTGCTGTGACTCATCGTTATATCCGCGACTTACATACCACTCAGGAATATTAGAAAAGAGAAGTTTGTATTCAGTGTAAAAGATGTTTGATAATAAGTCAATGATGGTCTGTTTTTACACCAAATTTAGCACGCATAATGGGCCCACGTATTCTACATTTGCATATGATTTATCACCTAAAGGTGTTTTTTTTTTTTTAAATAGGTAATTTAAAAAAGTGCTGCAAGTTTCAAATACTGTGTTGCGGGTTATTGATTGCAGCATTGATGTATTACTAAGTTTGATTAAAAGCCTAGGATTTCTTTAGGACTATATCAGCCAGTGCTTTAGACCAATTCCATCTTATGATGAGAAAAGACAAAGTTTTAGCTATTTTGGTCAAACTTTTAAAACATAATAGAGTCTACTGCAAGATGACAAAATGTCATGCTTAAAGTATGTGGTGTGAATCACTCTTAGCTACTACTACATCAAATTTTAGCTCAATATTTGTAACGATGACTTGAGTGAGATGGAGGATGACTCGCTGTGGCGACCCTTGAAGATGGAAGAGCCAAAAGAAAAAGAAGAAGATTTGTAAAGATGACCGAGTGTGAGCCATTTTTGTATTGATAATGTCAGTTAGCTGCAACATCAATCTTCATTAAACTGAATCAGAATTAAACTGACTCAAAAAGTTAAGACAGTTGTAGAGGTATAGGCAGTGATTGCTTTCTGGGACTTTCATTAAACAGACAAACTAAATCAACTCCAACGCTTTAACAGACTCCAGTATCTCAAGCAGTGAGTAAAACTTGCAGTATGTGCTGGGAATGATGCTCAGCTACAATTACACCAAATATTTGCACAATATCTGTAAAACTGACTGAATTGTATCTATTTTGTATTCTTCAAGCAATTGGTTGTGGCTATATTGAATTGATCTGAATCCAAAATGTATTCAGTTGTAGAAGTACACTAATTTATTTCCTGACAGTTTCATTAAACTCCGGCCGGTGGGTCAAGGGATATCTTCTCAACAAACAGAGTTGACCCCAGATAGTTATTTAAAATAAAAAGATGTGCAACTTGTTAGCACTCAGAATACGTTTTTAGGATTAGGCTCAGCTACAAAGACACAACATTTTGGCTCAATTCTCTAATGACTCTATAATGACTGAACTTCAGTCATTTTGTGCATACAGTAGTCCCTCGCTACTTCGCGGTTCATTTATCACAGACTCGCTCTATCACGGTTTTTCAAAATAAGATTGGACATGACTCACAATTGGTTGATTGATGGATGCGCCACACGATCAGCATGGAATTTTATTTTGAAATAAATTATTTTAAATTATTTAGCACCTGCTGCACATTTCCAGAGCTGCAGAAAAAGCTGCTCCTGCAGCTTTGTGCAGCCCAGACTGCAGGATAAACTTCCTGCTGCAGCTGATCAGCTGCTCTCCATGCTGAGTGGAGAAGTGGGCGTGGCCAAGAACACTTGCAGGTGGCAAAGAGCAGAGGAGGCAGGGAGCTGAAATCATGACATTCTGTGCTCTTTTAGCGCATTTAGATTTTAGAGACATTGTTTAGAATATTGCAAGAGTGTGGGAAGGGTTTAAAATACCTTTATATATAAATATTAAAATAAAATACTTCTTACTACTTGTACTACTATTCCTACATCGCGGTTTTTCACTTATCGCGGGTCTTCATGGCACGGATCCCCCACGATAAACGAGGGACTACTTTAGTACGTTGTTCTTAATGTCATTTTACTTTGGCAGCCATCTTGAATCAGGTTGACTCCAAAATGTCTACAGTTGTAGAGGCTCAGACGTAAAATATTCTCTCCAAGTTTCATTTGAAAATATGCTCAGTTCACGACGTTCTACTATGGCTTTCGGCGGTGGGCGATAACTGATTAGATCAACAGACGAGTACTGGTAGAACAGTGTGCATTTCCATTTGAAAGGAGAAGAAAGAACATCTTGTCTAACAAAAAATAATATTTGCCCTCCAAAATGTTCTGCAGTTATGATAAAACTGCTCCTCTAAGCCTCTAAGCTTACCATCTTCTGTTTTTGGCGGGCATCATTCCTAAAACTCACACCTTGCTGTCAGTGCAGAACCCTGCTTGGCTGAACTCCTGGGCCTTGGCAACTAAAGTAAGATTTGAAGCCTGCAAAGATGGCTTCTCTCCTTCCTGTGATCTTGCAAACATCGTCTTGCACGTTAAAGCCCCACAAAAACTTAAAAGGACTGTAAAAGCTCTGGGATACAGGAAACATTAGACCGAAGCTATTCTCGGTTCTGTGAATATCTGTACCACAATCTGTGTCAATTCATCCAGCAGATGTAGAGCAGAACGACCAGTGAACTAACGGCGCTGTGCCACCTTCAGTTGTGCTGCTGGTGTGGCTGAAACAACATTTCTAAATGAGTGGGGGGGGGGGGGGTATGGATAACATTTTTCTTTGGGTAAAATGAGACGTCAAGTAAAAACAACCTTGCCTCTGAGTAACACAAAATGTGATCATTTGTTTTATTCTGCGTGAGGCGTCTTCTCCCCTGTGTTTACACCATGCCCTTACCGTTCAGCAAAGCCTACCTGAGAAAATAAACTTCCCCACAGCAGAGGAAAAGTAAAAAAAGAATCAGACTGAAATGCAAACAAATTAATGGTTTCTGATATGAATCCCTCAAAAAAGAACAACTGCACTGAGAAATATTTTCCCCCTCCCTTTTCTTGCTTTGGGGACAGGGGACACTGGAGATTTTAGCATGTAGGCAAGTGACAATTGAGCACACTGCCACTTTGATCACACTTCTGGCTGACAGGGAGATGCAATTACCACCGTGGGAAGGCAATTATTCACAGAACGTGTAAAGAGCCAATAAGAGTGATGGGGATAATGAAAGTGGGGGTAGGAAAGAAGGAGGAGGCAAAAAAAAAAAGATGTACAAGTGATTGGGACGTTGAGGAAGGGAAAGCGGCACAAATTGGACTGATATTGACGTCCTCAAATGTGAAGAATGACAGGAGAGCTGGCAGCGGAGACAGATGACAAAGCTGTTGTATTTTTGTACAAGCAGGTCACCTGGCACACAGACAAGCAAAAGATACAGAGACAGACAATGCTGCATGCAGAGAGCCAGACGTTAGGGATTGGGGCTAAAAAAGCAACAAGAAAAGCCTGGCAGTTATACCTTCATGTACGCTCGGCATGTCTTCTCTCTTTTTTGAAGCTTTTCCACACAACAAGAGGATCAGACATAAGAGGCAGAGTGTAAAGAGAGGTGGTGAGAGAAAAGGAAGCATTAAGTCATGCAACTTACTATCAATTACTGAATTAATGAAAAGACAGGAAGGAGCAGGTCTACGAACTATAACCTTGAAATAATGAGACAGATCTAAAAGCTTCCCAAGGGGAAGTCAACGGTGTTCGAATCCTAACTATGAATATGGATTATATACGAGTGGAAGAGAAGAGATAAGAAATGCACAGACAGCGGGGAGGAAAAAGTGCTGAGACCAGTTTCTGATGCTCCCCATTAGTGACAGTTTAAAATACAGAGTGGATAAGCAATCTGGGATGAGGTCTTTCTGCATTTCATGTGATGGAGAAAATAATTAAACGCTAGTTTATTTTTATAACCCTCGGTTAATCTGTTGGCATTAAGTCGCCATCTCCCCCAAACTGAGTCACAGCACAGAAAATGGCATGCTGCAGCTGCACCACAGATTTGGAAAACAAAGAGATGAGAGAGTCTTTTGTAAAGACCTTGATAACGTAGCAGCTTTTTTCTTTTTTAAATGCAAGAAATTATTCGATTCAATACAAATTTAGAACATGGACACTTGTTGGTTTGTGAGGAAGGGGATAAAGAAGCTAACTATGACTGAGTGGCTTTATCTCTCTGAACACACGTCATATTTACGGATAAACATTTTCAAATCCATGCGTGTAGTTGCTCAGATGTACACTATTTCTTTGGTTAGTTGCAATTTATTTTATAAAAATTTGGCACACATTTCTGGAAGTTACTACATTTAAAAAAAAAATTTCTGCAGGAATCTTATTATTATTTTTTATTATTAAATATTGTATCCATATTTGGTGCCAAACACAGCATTTGTAACAAAATTATTACAAATCAGTGTTTTGGGGAAACAAAACAGCAGAAAATGTAATATTTCAAAAAGCATTTTAACATAAGGAAGTGCTGTTTTTGTAAAATGTTAATGCATTACTCACACTTATATTTTGTTTCTCATAAATGTTAAAGATTTTTTGTGTTATTTAGTCAAGTCAGCTTTATTATAAAGCACATTTAAAACAGTAGCTGTAACCAAAGTGCTTAACAATAAAAATCGATGGGAGTAATTTAATGGAAAGAAACTAAATTTAATGATAGCATGATAATTAATTAAAAGCATCAAAATAAAACACAAAACAATAAAATACAAAGTACTAAATCAAACCTCACTGTAAAAAGCCAGAGAAAACATGTTTTAGCAGAGATTTAAAAACAGGAAGTGAAGTTTTTTTTTTAGATTTTGCTACTTTCTATTGACTAATTTTGTGAAGTGTTGCCATATTGTTGCCAAAAGCTTTGATTAAAAACAAAAAAAAAATCTGAATTACCAGTAAATAAAGGGCTCCTGACTACATGTTCACATTTTAAAAGTACAAAGTACAAATGTGCAGGACAAGGCTCTCAGAAAGGAAGAGTGCTAACGTTATGGAGGTTGGACAAGCTTAATGGAATAAGTGAAAAATTACATTTCCAGATTAACGTAATATTAATAATGCACAAAGCTTTGTTTTTGCCTGAAGTGTATCAATGCAGCTGTAAAAGGAACAAGCAGCAATGTGACCAGGCCCACCTTCACACCAGTACAGAGGTTAAACCACTGAAATTCAGCAAGTTTTGAGGTATGCTGTGCAAGTTTCACGCTAACTCAGCAATTAAACTACAAACTACCAGATTTTTAAGAATCAAGTTTGTTCTAAAATTCTGTTAAGAGTTGTGTAGCTGCCTGAACATCTAGATACAAACTGCGGGTGTCATCTTAGTGCAAATCACCTTGTTTACAGAACAACTACTGCCTCCAAAGTCTGAATAAAAATGCAATTTTTCAACCTGTCACTCTTCTCTCTATGGGGCTGCCAGCACCTGAGAGATGCAGCTCTGTTGTGGGCCCACTCTTTTCTCAACAGGCACCTGCAAAACCTCCAGGGGACAGCAGTTCCGCACTTGTCAGCAATGAAGAGTTATTCTCTGTGTTGTTGGGGGGGGCTCATGACCATTAACGCAGATAAGGTGGAAGCGCCAGGTGAGCTTGTTTTTCCAAAAGCCCGTAATTATCCAGGATCAGCAAAGGAATGAGGTTCCCCTCAGGGCTTGCCCTGGCCCTTAGCCCCATCTCCTGGGTCCGCGTATGATTTGTGTGCATGTGGGCGAGGGCACGCCAGGCAGGGGCTGTGAGTTATCTGTAAGTATCCTGCTAATGAATGTCCTGAGTAATGCTGACTCTGAGCTGGGGCAGAAGAGGAACAAAGTTTAATGAGAGGTTACAACAGGGCGGACAGGATTTTCTCAGTACCTTGTTGAAGCTGCGTCCAGCTGAGTCCTTCTCGTTTGGTCTGTACTCCAGAAGCTGAGCATCCAGGATGTCCACGAGCTGCTCCATCAGGCGCACGGAGGAGCTGATGTCTCCGGCAAACACCGGGCCCTGTGTGTGTCGAGCCAGCTCGTTGGCTAAATTTGCTGCATTTTCACCACTTCGGATCTAAAAACAGCAGTGGGGAGAAGAAGAAAAAAAAACAAGAGGGTGTCAAAGAAATGTGGGGTATGCAGGACTGTGATGATGGTTATATAACGTCAGGCTGAATAATTTATTCCACATACATCTCCATCCTAATCCACTGCAACACAGCTTGCTCAAAAAGAAAAAAGGGGTTTTAGTGACACACAAGCTTTAGAAAAGTAAAGGGAAAGAGCAAACCCGCGTAGAATAATTATGTGCGCTTGTCTGTGATCTGCGTAAAACAAAAGCTATTATTTTAGCCAACTTCGACTAAGACACATGCATGCTAATTTATTATGTGATTCGCTTGCAGCGAGTGTTCAGAATAATTGTATTAAAGGATGTGATACATGGGTCAGACAAAAATATCCTTCAGGCCTCTGAGATAAAAAAATTGGAGGGGCCAAAAATTGTGATGAAGCTGTACTACTCAATGGAGACACATCAAAAACCTGAAGTATGACAGCTGCACAGCCAACATCAGTAGCAGTCAGATTCAAGGTCTAAAGCTGGTCCTAACACTGTTAAATCAGTTACACAGTGTTTGCATCAAATTTAAATTATTTTTATGAGTAAATACCGGGGCACTAGTCCCTCGTTTATTGCGGGGGGATTCGTACCCTGAAGACTCACGATAAGTGAAAAACCACGAAGTAGGACTACTAGCACAAGTATGGTAGTAAGTAGCAGTTTATTTTTGTATTTATTTATATAGATTTATATAAAGACATTTTAAACCCTTGCCACACTCTTGCAATATTCTAAACAATGTTTCTAAACTCTAAAACTCTAAAAGAGCACAGAATGTCATGATTTCAGCTCCCTGCCTCCTCTGCTCTTTGCCACCTGCAAGCGCTCTTGGCCACGCCCACTTCTCCATTCTGCACATTGATCAGCTGATCAGCTGCAGCAGGAAACTTTTTCTGCAGCTCTGGGATGCACTAATGTGCAGCAGGTGCTAAACATTTTAAAATAATTTATTTTAAATACAATTTCCATGCCAATCGTGCGGCTCATCCATCAATCAGCCAATTGTGCGTCATGTCCAGTCTTATTTTGAAAAACCGCAATAGAGCGAGTCCACAGTAAATGAACCGGAAAGGAGCGAGGGACTACTGTAAATAAAAATGAAATCTGATAATTTATAATATGACCTGCAGTATACAAACAAAGAGTATAACAAAATAAGCATAATGTCTCCTTAACTGCTTCCTGTAGCTATTCTGAATCAATGCAGCCAACTAAGTTAACAAAAAACTGTTTATTTCCTCATTTGTTTATTTGCCAATTTGCTCTTTGTGTATTGCCTTTGGGGGGCATATGGAACAGAATACCTAAAGTGCAAACACAGTCCAAAAATTCTCAGAGTAGATGCGCTGTAAATCATTTTTTACATTAAACTATATTTTGTTGTTTGTGTCACTGAAAACTGCTTAAAACCAGGACACAACTCTTTAGATTAGAATTTGTGCATTTCCCCAGAAGCCCTGCCTGTACCTGCTACTTTGTCTAGATGTATTTTTTCCAGTCAAGAGCAACAATAATCTCCCCCTTCAGAATGCAGTGTGTTGTGTTTCTGACGCATTATTGTGCGTTCGGGCTATTGAAGCTCTTATCTGTGCATCTACATTTCTACCTGCACAACATCAAAGCACCGGAGCATTGACGAAAGAGACCCCGCTTCTTTGAGTCTCTGTAGCATGCTGCAGCTCTCGGTATTTACTCTTGATTTTTTTTTTTTTAGATACAGCCTTTCTTTCAGCTGACACATGTTCCCCTTGAGAAAAAGAGTGGTTTCATTATGAGTCCACTTGACCTGTTCAGAAAATAACCGAAGCAAGCAAAGAGGTCATCTATTGCACATACAGTAAATGTTTGATTTTGGCCCTGTTACATGCCTGATTGCTGCTGTGTTTTGTAATAGGCAAACTCTCTTTCTTTCTTTTACCTTTTGTGCCACCTGAGTCACCCAATGGGAGGTGCAGTTGCTGAGGTCTGGCCCTTTGGAGCACCATGTTCCTGTCACGGTGCAGAGGAAAGTGGCAACGCCTGCAGGACCACAAAAAAAAAAAACACAGTTAAGAGAGAAGCTCTTAAAGTTATGCTCAGATACAGCGTCTCCAGCTGACCACTCGTTTATACAATGTACACGTTCGTACAGTTAAGAGTTCAAACACATGTCAGGCCAGTAAACATTATAAAATGCCAATTAGTAAAAGTTATCTATCTAATAGTGGTGGGTGGATCCATTCAAATATCGATAATATCGAAACCAACATGGGTATTGATATTGATCAATAACAGTGTAATGAGATTGATCCTTTAGCTTCAGTTTCTCTCCTGTATGCACAGCTGCAGTTTCATCAAAGATGCGAGCCGACTGTGTAAGTGCCGCTCCTGTCACTTTGCAAAGGCAGGGCCCTCAGAGAGGCTTCTGGGAATATTTCTTTGAACTCAAGGCTTTGGAGGTTGTTTTATTATTTACATTTTATTTATTGTATTTTCACTAATTATTTTTGATTTGTAGTTTGTTTGTTTTTTCAAACCCAGAAAAGAAATTCACTTATGAGGAGACATTTTGTTTTATTCCTTTATATCCTAAATATATTTTACTGTTTTATAATGTTTGTTGCAGTGTGATGTGTACAGTTTGTTTATTTAAGAAAAAAAAATCCAGAAAAGGAGTGCAATGAGGGGATAATTTTTATTTAATTATCATAATTTCTGAACACAATGTTTTAATTTATTCTTGAGTGATCATTTTGTGCACTTTGTTTAAGGAAAAAAAACATCCAGCCATCACAAGGTATGGGGACAATGGTTTTGTTACTGTTCTATTTTTTTCAGAAAAAAAAAAAAAACTTTTATTATAATAAAGTATTTTTTATTTACTTATAAACTTTGACTAATTCTATCCTGGGTTTTAACTAATAACTGATCCAAAGGAAAAAAATCACAACACACTTAAACGTCATCAAAATTCACCGTAATTAGTTAAAAGTATCATATCGTATCAGTATCGTCAATACTGGACCTGTATTTATTTGGCATCAACCAATACCAAATTTTGCAGTATCGCACACCACTACTATCTAAGAAAGCCAGCAGATTGCATTGAATCAGGTCTCTCTTGTAAATGAGTCCCCGAGGCTCAATGGGATAAACCTGTCTAAATAAAGGTTGAATGAATCTTTAATTTTCACCATCTTCCACCTTGAGCAGCTTATTGGTGACTGTGGTAAGGAATGACTCCCTTTTAACAGGAATAAATCTCCAGCAGAACCGGGCTCAAGATGGGCAGCCACCTCTCTGACCAGCTGTTGTTTGGGAGAACAGGCAAGGGACATACAGTAGTCCCTCACTACTTTACGGTTTGACTTTCGTGGACGTGCTCTTTCGCAGTTTTTCAATGTAAGATTGTACACGACACACGATTATCAACTTTAATATTACTCATGTGATTGGGACGGTACGGAATAAAAAATAATAAATAAAAAAAAAAACTTCGGACAGACACTTCTATTTTGTAGTTTTCTTTCAATAGGCCTACACTGTCATGCAGGTTAAAAAAAAAAAAAAAAACTACACTACCCAGAAGCCAACAGTGCTTCTGGCTGCTGCGTTCTGCCACAATGGAGGATTACATTTGCAAAGTAAAGACAGAAGTAACAATCTATTTATTGAGCTCACAGAACTGACAGGAAAGTTACAAATAATCCTGAAGCTCAATTATCCAAGCACACATCAACCTGGACGCTGCAGGGTAGGTCTGCAGAACGGGAACCGAGCCCGACCTGAACCGAGCTGCTAGTCTGCAGAGCTGGTGAGTAAAATTTTGCAGTACTGTACAATACATATACGTATGCTGTTAAAATTATGTAGGTTTAGGAGTTTAGAACATTGCAAGAGCGTGGGAAGGGTTTATAAAGCCTTAACATATATAAAAATGTTAAAATAAATATAGCGTTCCTACTTCATGGATTTTCACCTATCACGGTGGTGTGTGGAACATAACCACTGCAATAACTGAAGGACTACTGTATACATATTCTGATTACTCCAATATTTCACATGCAGTTACATCAAAATACACCCCAATTTACTGACAACAACACACAAAATACTAGATTTTACTTTTTCAACAGTGTCAGATTTTTTTCTACTGAGCCTTGCTTAATATATTGAAAGCCCTGTCACATTCAGTGATAGGCTGTGAAGGTAATTCATTTAAGATTTTGGCAGCAGCATCAGATTATCTCAAGTAAATACATTCAAAAAATGGTTTCCCTGACTGCTGACTTGATTCACAGCCAGTCATTTTACCTGTGAATATTTAATATCAATTATCTGTAAAAAATAAAATCAACTGTCCATCACCGTAATTGGCGTCTTGTGTGTATTTTCTTGGAATGCACAGGTAGCTGTATTTGTTCTCCGTCTGCTAATTGTGTACTTTCGTTTCAAGGAGAAATGGATTTGGAAATTACATGAAAACAACAAGAACGAGTTTTGTAATTTAGCTTTTCTGATGGTGGAAGTAAAAGGCTCTAATCATGCCTTCCCGTGGTTTTAAAACTGACTTGTTGCTGAGACAAAAATATCAGCTCAATGCAGATAAATGGGAATGAAAGCAGCGCTAACATGAGCACAAACAGAAATCATTTAGCACATTCTGTCGAGCACTTTGGCTCTTGCTTTATGAATAACTTATGCTAAAACTGTGATTGCAAACACAATTGTTAGTGTACAGAGTGGAGTCAAAATGATTCAAAAGAAACAAAAACAAAAACAGAAAATAGCTTTTAAAACTAGTTTTCTTTTTTGATCATTGTAAAATGTCATAAAAATTGATTCAGACCTATAGTATGACAGTCTTAAAGGCCGGGGCTTGTGGTGTACTTGCACCGGATTACATCATATTGTGAAATGCACGTAATTGTACTGAATTAACGTTTTTATTGGTGTTATCTTGTGCACCTTTGGGAGAAAGCCTTGTAATTTATATTTTACTGCAGTGACATAGATGTGCACTAAAGCAAGCTTCAAAAGGAATAAACTGACATTTGAGAAACGAAGGAAAAATTATTTTATCTTATCTCTGATAAAAGGGAAATCTGACAAAACTTTAATGTTTGCATACTTAAAGTAAAGTTTAATAACAGCTGGTTTAATATCCCTTGAAATGGACTAATATAGAAGCAAATCTAAATATGTACCCACCAAAACAGTTGATACCTAACATAAATATATATATATATATTTTTTATTTGTGTAGTGCTGAATTGGAAAAACAAATGGGATTTAAATTTTCTTAATATTCACAAAAGCCTGAGCATTATTCATCCACACGAATGCAAATATATCTTACCCCTGGTTCCTTTGGGGCAGGGTCTGTCGATGGTGGTCCCGGTGTGTGTCTGGGGCCAGTCGATGGCTCTCCTCCTAGTGGCCTCGCAAAAGCGTCTGGGCGTCGGAGGCAGCTCAGGGACGGTGGGTTCAGATGTTACGGAGCTGTGGTTGTCCTCAAAAGGATTTCTTCCCTCTCTTGGATCTGCCCCTGCTATCGTCGTGTCCCCGTGCCCCCTCATGGCAGGCATAGTTGTGGTAGTGAACACCGTGGTAGATTTGGGCATAGATGATGAGAGTGAAACATCCTCAATTGTTGGAACTAAAGAACAAAATAAAAAAGGTAAAGCTGTTAGAGCTCAAGTCCCAAATGTCAAACTCCTGATGGTTCTATCAGTGGAGAAACTGCAGCAGTTTCAAGTCAGACTTGTTGGCGTCTGCAAAAATACCGCTGCTTAAAATGCCTAAAAATAAAAGGATCATGGAGGTTTAACTTCACCTCTGCTCTGCTCCCTTACAAAATAATCAAGACAAACCTTCCAATGTGACACTATCTTGCACTATTTCCATTTCACTTAAGCCAATAAGTAAGACAAGCAACAGCAGCGGGGCAATCTTTCACACAGCAGTGATTTCTTTTAAGCAGACTGGGTATTGGGTTGATTAAATGTCAACAATGAAGACAAAGCCCATCTGCGTTTTACCTTTTCCCCAGCCTTGTTCATTTCTTTCCCTTTGATAAAGCTAGTGCGCGGAAGGAGAACTGCACTGCCACGAGCAAAAAACTATACATCAGCAATAATGCATTTCCACTGGATTCAGTCCACGCCTACCAAGCAAATCCATGTGTGTGATTGCACATGTGCATGTGTGCAAGCACGCTTGTGTTTGCTCCATTACTCAGGTGTGTCCCTGCTTAAAATCTCTGCTTGCACACAGATTGATATCTGCTGTGGAGTGCCTGGAGATAACTAGGAAATGAGAGCAGAAATAGGAAATCTATAAATTTAATACAGTATGAAGAGCCAATAAGGATGAAATAGAAAACACAGTGACTGTTTGTGTGTATGTGTGCCAACATGGATATCTAATGCTTTTTGTCTGCTGCATGAATGGCCATACATTTTTAACTACAACTGCCTGATTGTATTTTGAGATAAAATCACCTTCCCACAATGATGTCTGTCCACGTAAAAGACTCTCTAGTCTTCGTGTTCCCTGGGTGCTTTTGTAAAATGCAATATCATGCTATCTGACACTCCATCATCTGACACCTATCTCCATTTCCTGGGAGAGAATGGTGACAGAGCCGACAGTTCTCTTTTCACACCAATCAGAGGGTCAGGGGGATCTTTGCTTTTCCATTCAAGGTAAAATATTTGAGCTTATTACAAAGCTGATACCTTTGATGAGGCCAAGAGGCCACCTGAGCCAGGGAAGTAGTGTTCCTGAGACATTCACTACAAAGAAAAAAGAAACGCTACATTTCACGCGGTGACCTTTTTCCACCTGACAGGAGCCCAGGACAATTGCCTCACACTTATTCAGCCATGGTGCCCTCACATACATTCACAGGCTGGCCTTGCACAACTAATGGCTCATGAATGGTTTACATGACCGGCTGACAATAAGGGCTCAGGGTTTTACCTGAGCTGCATTATTTATTTTGCTGGTGACTAGAATTAGTCGGTTAAGCCTAACAAGTGATTGGCCAATCCAGAACTATTTGTAAATGTGAGAATCTGTGTCTGTCTGGTGCTCTTTCTTTAGATTCTTGTGTTTATGTACTTGTACTTCCCCAATGGTTTTTCCTTCATGTGTCAGCTCTTTGCTTCACCTGCTCCCAATCCCACCAGGTGTTTGTCATTGCGTCTCGTTAAGAGGTTGCCCCCAGTATACTGGCGTGTACGTCCATACGCAGAGGTACGCAGGTACGTATGCAGAGGTACGAGCGTACCCCCCAGGGCATGTCCATGCAAAGCTCAATTTTTACGACCGCATACGCGTACGCGGTGTCGCACAATAAACTGCCCAGCAACGGACTGTTTTGTATGCGACACCAATGTATTAAATTCCCCTTCTTCATCCCTGATCTGGCCTTTTGTTTTGTTTTGGTTTTTTGCCAAGAGGCAAGTGATCTCTTCCTCCTCTGTTGATGCCATGACTGAAATGGTGAGAAATGAAGGAATTTGTCACGAGCTAATTAAACTCAGGTCCAGCGTGGCTGCGGGAGGGTCTGGAGATTTCCTGGTGGGCTGGTCTGATGTGTGGGCTGCAGAGCCAGCGCTCCCTGTTTTTTGGGGGGGAGTTTTAGATCTTTTTAATAACAACATATAAACACAGAACACCACTGTGGCTGAGGCTGCCAGCGCTCGTTTTTTTTTTTATCCCGACCTGTCAATCAATCCGATAGGCGTGTCAGCAAATGACCAATCGGCGACCTCAATTTGTCCCGAAGGTAAATGCCCCTTGTCTGTGAAGCTGCTCTGCAGCTGCTCAGGGTGTACGCTGGAGTATGAAGTCTGAACCCCCTGCGTACAATACACGCGTATGTACGCGTGAACGGATGTACGCGGCAGTATACTGGAGGCTTCAGTGTCCTTTTAAGTTCAGTATCTTTGTGTTTACTGGTTGTCTGTGGATTGTGCTATCCACAGCCGCCATGCTGTTTCCTCCATGTCTCCCTGATCCTGTGTTATACGTAGGTTTTGCTGCCACGTCAGCTTTTTGTTTTGAGTTTTGGCTTAATAAATAGATATCCATTACTTATCCTTGAGTTCCCTGCGTCTATTCTGCACCCTGGGTTCAACACTACGTGGATCATGAGGATCTATAAGGTATTTGTTTAGAATGAGCTGTGGAGATTCAGTCATCCAGGGCATGGTAGGTCGTAAGAATTTAAAACAAGGTAACTGGACTTATTTTCTTTGACTTAAAATATATTTTGCTTCTCACTCGATGAGCTTTTTTCCAGTTCAAATGAAAAGTGTAGAGATCGGAGTGCAAAGTCAGAAGAAGCACAACAGGCCACTAAAAGAAAACTGGATTTTATGCAGAGATATATCTGCAGCTCACTTTACTGCTCAGGCTGTTGTTTTCCTTTATCGTACAAGCTGCTACTTAACACTTAACATGACATATTCAAGTCCAGCTTTGTATGCGAGACATAATTCGTAACCAGGGAACAAACATACATAAAGATGAAACATTTTAATAATATCAAACTGAATTTTTTAATAATTTAGCTATCAATAACTACTTTGTAATTCCAAGTGGTTCTCCCTTCTTCTCCTCTTAAAGAATATGTTGAATACTGCTGCATAATTATTTTTTAATTTAGGCCCTATAGAAATAAATATAGTACATTGCCCTACATTTTTTATTTTTTTTGCTTTGAATTTGTGCATTATAAATAAACTGAAATGCATGCGATGGAGTGTATTTTTCAGTTTTGAAATCTATACATGAGATTGAAATAGGAATGTTAATAAGCTGTAGCCAGATTTAAAAAGAAGAAATGCATAATTTTGAGTTGGGTTTTATTTGTTCAAGTGCCTCTCTGCAACATGCTGAAGAATATTAATTACAATTTTGCTTCAACAAAGGGGGAGGGCAGGGGGCGAAGCTTTGTATCTTGGTGCTGTTTTTTTTGTTGTTGTTTTTTTTTTTAAAGTAAAGTTCTTTCCAGTAAATAATTAATTGTGATTGTGAGGAACTGATCATGTGCCTTGTTTGTTAACTGCTGGAAATGGGCATCAGCTACCAGTAAACCTGAACAAGATTAGACAGGTACAAAAAATGGGTGGGGTTTAAGATAACAAAATCTAATTATAAATATAATACCTAAATAAAAAAAAGCATATATTAGTGTGTTGCTTAGAAGTTAGAAAATTCAAAAACTGTCAGGTCAGAGCGTCACAAAAACTGAAAATTGGAATCAGCGAGGAAAACTTTGATTGGTGCATCACTAGGTATTACCTACAGTAATGACGGGCTGAAACCTTATACAAAAGACCTTAGATTTACCAGTCTTAAAATGCTGCACGTAATATTGAACAAAAGGTTCCAGATGCATTATATTAGGCAGGTGCAGTTTTTTCACAGTCAGAAAAAGTGAGAAGATTCATAGGCTGACTTGGTTGATTCAATAGACACATATAATGCAATACAAGGGCACATGTAATTGGATTTCAGAATATTAAAGCTCTCTATACCTGAGCAAACTTCTGCTTTTCTACAGGCTGATATAAAACCTAATATGCAGCTGTCTGTAACAGCTTGCATGCATCTCCTGATCAACCTGCTCCTGAGACCGCGTTCCTCCGACTCAAGCCTTTAAAGCATCACACATCTCAGTGCAAATTATTACAACGTGCAAGCAGTCTGTTTTTCAGTGTTTCTATGTCATCCTAATAGCCAGGAATTCATTTAAAAACTCCTTTATCTTTAATGAGTCAAATTGTGACGTGCTACATATGCAGAATGTAATGAGTTGTTACTCGTATCATTTCTAACTAGAAGTGCTCACCTGTGGCACTGGAACAGGGGGGCCAGGGGACCAATGGCCCCCCACTTTACGGCCCTGCCCATCAGCTGGTCCCAGACATTTACACAGGCTACACTCAACGCCGACAAGCTGTGACTGACGTCTCTGTGTGTGTGTGTCTACATATAGACAGAGGAACAGACAAAACCTACAGCGTTCAGATCTGGGGCAAATCTGCAAAACCGTCACTGGAGAGTTGCGCCAGCTCTGGGTCAGGCTGGGATCACGAGCCTGCCTGACACCTGCAAAACATTTTTTGGCTCTGATCCGGTTCTGGTCTGAACCAAATCAGCCTAAAAATTAAATAGGAATAATATATTTGTTCCACATCTGGCTCAAATGCAGTATTTATTTCACCTGTGGGCCACCTCTGACTCTGACCTTGATCCACGCCGGTTACGCGCCATTGTAAAACAAGAAACCCCGGGCTCAAGTCCGTTTACGGATCCAGGCCAAATGCTCACCTATATTTGGCCCAGAGCAGATAACTTTTGCGGTCAGGGTACAAATAATTGTGTGGATAGTTCGTTATTTTTGATTGTCCAAAAGCCAGCTGGAGTGTGCAACTGTGCTGCGATGGCAGGTCGCTTTGGAGAAGATTTAGCCAGAGGAGAAGAAGAGAGCTTACCTTCTCATCTCTGAAATAACAGAAGAAATAAATAATCATTCAATCAGGACCTGTGATAGCAGGTCCGTTCTGATTTCTGAATGCACGTCACTCAGAAACAGCCGTCACATAATCTCTCAGACATTCATTGTGCACGGAGCCATTTTTC